GCTGAGGGGGCAGCTATGGCACCAAACTAGGAGGTAAGGTGGGGCATTGACCTCATCACGCTCTTCAACTACCTGAAGGGAGGTTATAGCCAGGTGCGGGTTGGTCTCTTCTCCCAGGCAACCAACAATAGGACAAGGGGGCATGGGCTCAAGCTCTGCCAGGGGAGGTTTAGGTTAGATGTTAGGAAGAAATTCTTTACAGAGAGGGTAATCAGGCACTGGAACGGCCTGCCCAGAGAGGTGGTGGATTCACCATCCCTGGAGGTTTTTAAAAAGAGATTGGACGTGGCCCTTAGTGCCATGATATAGTAATTGGAGTTGGATCAGGGGTTGGACTTGATGATCTTGGAGGTCTTTTCCAACCCAATCTATTCTATGATTCTATGATTCTATGATTGCTGTTGGTGCAGGATGGAGGCCGATGGGAAGATGTACGTCAAGTACCAGGTGATTGGGAAGAACAACGTGGCCGTCCCCACCCATTTCTTCAAGGTGCTCATCCTGGAAAAGGACAGCGGGGAGATTGAGTTGCGCTCGTACGTGATGCCAAACAGCCCCGTGGATGAGAAAATCCCCCTGGAACGGTTCCTGGTTCCCATTGAGAGCATTGAGCGAGCCTCAGGGCTCCTCTTTGTCCCCAACATCTTGAAGAAAACAAGTAACTTGAAAGCCATCACAGCTGGAAACAAGCGTTGAACCCTGACTAAACAGATCCAGGTATTCCCTGGGCTGGGACTGACAGCAGTCACATGCACAATAATAGTTCCTTGTGCAGTTTTAAATGTGGGAAATAAGAATGAAACCAATGCTTCTCTTTACCCTTCCCCTCATTTTGCCTAACAGTGAAACACACACACATGCAGCAGGTCTCAAAGCAGGTCCTGCAGAAGCTCCCCAGGCACTTCACACCACTGTAGGCCTTTAGGATTTACCCCTAATCTGCATTACGAGCATACCCCTGTAATTGCTCCCTTTGAGTTGTGTGTATCTCATTAAGACACAAAGGGAAGTTACTTAATTTCTTCTGTTTATCAGGGAAGGATGGGAGCAAGGTGGATGCAGGGGGAGGAGAGGAGAAGTTCCTGCCTTTGTGTGGCCAAGGGATTGTATGATTGTTTTCTTTCAGAAGATGGTTTTAGCAGTAAAGCTTTGAAACCCCCAAAGTATTGGTTGTTTCTTATCTGCTCTTACCAAAGCCCTGAATATCTCAGCAGGAGGGAGCAGGACAGAGCCAACTTTTCCAGCTGCTTTCCTGTTTGAGCTCACTGCAGGCAGAACTTAAGGCATCACAGATAGAGCCAAATTGGAATGAGCTCTGCTGATTTTTCTAAGCACTGAGGCCCAACTGAAGCTCCAGCCCTTCCTGCCGTTGGGAAGGATGAAGCCTTGGAGGTAAAGGAAGGACTCCTGAGGAAGTCAAGCTAACTGAGACAGGAACAGCTTCCTGGCTTAAGGACCAAGTTTTGACTTCCTTTAAGGCTGAGGGCCACATGGCTCAGAGGCACTGAGCGTGCAGGATCTCTGCACACCGAGTGCCCATCCTCGACAGCAAGACACACACACAGACTTGAGGCAGCTGAGGTCCCGTACGGCTTTATTCCCCACCCCAGACGTCTGAAC